CGCGTGGGGCTGTACTACAACACCCATTTCCAACCCTTTTTACTGATATCATACCTGAATCCATAGGCACAGTGTAAGTATCTCTGGTGGAACACCTTGCCAGTTAAGCTGACACTCTCTGCACCATTGGTACATCGGGTCTACTCTCCACTGTGTAGCCTTTCCCCGCCGAGGACTCCATATTCCAGGACGTCCACTCCTCGCTGGTTAAGCCAGCGCTCTCTGCCGAAGCATCGGATCCAGGCTAATTAGCATCCCCGGAGAAGCCCCATGATTCAGGGACTACTCCTCGCCCGTAAGGTCGGCGATCCCTGCCCAACGCCTGGCATCGGATCCGCTAATCTCTACCTATAGCCCTAACACTGTTTCACATCCACCTAGACCCGAAGACCTGTGGGACAAGGAAAAAACCCTGGAATTACTCTGAAGGAAAATTCCACGGAAAAACCCGCCCCGAAACAGCCGGGGTTACATACGAACTTTTCTCGATGAAAACAGTTTTCGAAAAAATCTGCATTCACCAGGAATCGAACCCACGACCCCTAGAACCGCGTTGTATTTGTAACAAGCACGCTTACCACTGAGCCAACGCTGCTCCTGAATTCACTGATTTCAATATCAGACACTTTAGGAACTTTATAACTACAATCCTTGACATTATCATGAAAAAATTTTACCAGAGGCACGGTTTCATACATCTTCTTGATATCATCCTTGGCTTTTTTCCTCTTTTTTGTGCAGTGGCAGTACAGGTAGCATTAGCAAATGATAATTTTTCATGCCTACATTTTATCAAATATTTATAAGATCATTTCTGCAGTTACTACTGATTATTTGTTGACATTATGACAACCACAAATGTGTTGCATTCATAACATTTTTAACCTTTTACATACTTCTGCATTACTTCTTCTGCGTAATTCAATAAATCAGTAATTTCTACAAAATAACTCATTTCGACTATTTTACCGGGTTATAACAAACTGATACCTAGTGTCAATTTTCAGTTCTATTGAAATCCGACAGATGCACTACTTATGGGTTGACACGACAAATAGTACAAAAAAAAGCAGAGTGTGGGACTTGGAGTCCCCCGGTAAGAACTAAGAACGAAGTTCTCAAATGTATGTAGAAATCACATGTATAATACAAGGTTACTGTAAAAAACAAGGTTCGTAAATACATGTGAGTCCCATATGTATTTTTTTTTGCGGGTTACGGTGGTATATTTAGGTCTTTCCTGTACATTTTTCATGTATGAAAGGCTCGGGAATTTTTTAAAATAATTTTTAAGGTTATTGTTGGGGAAAAAACGAGAAATATATCCTACATATTTTTAATAATTTTTCAAATATGCTGTAATTTTTCTACAAATTTTCCACCTTGATTTTATAGAAAAATACTGAAATGTGAGGTAATGTCTTCACATAACTCAGCACCTCTTTTTTGGTGTGCCACGATGTTTTTTCCTCTTTAGGAAACCTGTAAAACTTGTTATTTTTTTTATATCTTGCTTTTTTTCAAGATATGGCATATTTTTAATATTTGAAGGTTATGTGCACGCATGACCATGTATAATTATTTCTACATTATTACTATCCTGTACTAAACGTAATATTACTTTTCCAATGATTTTCCCTCTTCACTTCGAAGGTAAATTGAAAACATCATAAATTGAGGTTATGTTTTTTCATCACTTAACGCCGCTGCTTTTGTGCGTCACTATATTACAATTCTCCTTAAAAAACCTGTAAAACTCGTTATTTTTGCTCTATCTTGTTTCCTTTTGAAGATATGGCGTACTTTACAATATTTGGAGGTTGGAGGTTACAACATAATATAAACACTGAGATAAATACCCGTTTAATCAATGCTGGCTATCTGCATCGATCTGACATACATGCAAAAATTATTTGTTAATGTACTTTATTAAATTAATAATATTAACTAGTGTATGTAGTATTAATCTTAACTACTATATTCTATACACATGCGCGCAGGCAAACATGTACACATTTGCACAGTAAAAGTAGAAAGTTCACACACACACACACACACACACACACACACACACACACTCATCATACATGGACATTTTCATGGTTGCATGTATAATTCTGTGAACAAGTTACACTCGCATACATACGTGCATGTACATATTGTATACGAGGACACTGCACACAGTAACACACTACGACACGGCAATACGAATATGCATAACACTAAACTTATTAATTTTAATATTCAAATTTGCCACCAATTTCCTACTGGTTATGTGATTGTGGCGCCTGAGCTCAGATGGATGGGAGTTGTATGTGTGCATGTCGGCTAAAAAAGTGCTCCCATTTATTTATTAACAGCCGTTTGCAAAAATTCTTTGTGTATTCGATTCGTAATCAAATTCTCTTTAATTTGACGTTTTTTTTTTTTTTTTTTTTTTTTTTTTTTTTTTTTTTTTTTGAGATAGCGAAAATGGGAGTGCACACTTTTTTTGTCCCTGCGCTATCCCCTCTATCCCCCTCCCTACAAGTGCACGCTTTTTCCTTTCGCTTTCTGGCTGATGAGTCCCTACGCTTGCTGGTTGGCTCTCTCTCTTTGTCGCCACTGCTGCTCTGTATCCCCCCTCCCTAAAAGTGCACCTCTTTCTTACTTTCTTACACTTTCTGGCTGATGAGTCTTCGTCCCCAACCGTCCTTATACACAGGAAATACACAGGGAGTATATATCCCATCGTAACCTGCGATAAAGAACTTCGTTCTAATAAAAAAAAGAGACTGAAAAATCCGTATGCTCAGATATTGTAACACGTTCGGACGTTAATAACGTTTATCCCAGAATCATAGTTTACAGCATGAAATGCATAATTGTTTAACTAAATGACTCAACGAATCAAACCTACAAAACTCTCGTATCCGTTCGCAGTAGTTGGTGCGCAGTGAGTCTGGGCTTCAATATGAAAACCTAATGGAAGATATGAAGCGATGGAAGATTCGAAGGGCAGGGTTACCAATGTAGAGATTTAGGTCGTCTACAGGAGAGAGAAAAAGGTGTTTCGTCCCCGGAGCAAGCCAGGACTCATCAGTAAGGCTGATGACATGCTCTCTGCCTTAGATACGAGAGAATTGTGGACTCAGACTGACTCGAAAGTGCTTATATAGTTATGAATCGGATATTTCGCTGCTTGACGGGAGAGAATATGAGGGGCTTGGACACCTAGCGAGTAGAATCTGAAGCACGAGAGATATAAGATGCTACAGATACTCACGCCGTAATTGGGCCCGTAGTAACTGGTAACAGTTTTATAATCGTCCATAGTAAAACAATTATTGAAAAAAAAAAAAATTAGTAACATAACAGAAAAACGTTATTCGTTTTAATAGTACAAGAGATGCTGCAGATAACGATAAAATGAAACTACTTTAATTTACATCGAAACACTTAGAGGCATAAATAATTTATCAGGATCGAAAATTTTAATTCACAGTTATTAGGATATTTATCCCTATAGTAAGAAAATCAATCGTTTAGAAAAAAAAAAAAAAAAAAAATTATTAATCAGGAACAAAATATGGCGTAAGTTTTATTACGGTCCTCTGACTTGGTTACACTATACTAGCTTCATAGACACTATCTTTTTTTGGTGTCGAGCAAAAAAATTAATGTTATAAAATTACGTACACTCTTTTATACATACGTACAGCAAAAAGTTATTTTCAATGTCAATTACTTAAAGCAAAAAATAGATTATGAGTTACCAAGCTTCAAAGAGCACTCTACTGATTTTTTTGGCTAAACTAAAATTGTTTATTTTCGCGTCGCATGTACTGGTCAAGGCGTTAAAAGTAAAAGTATAGTCTTGGAGCAATAAGTTCTAGATATAACAGACTGTCAAAAGTATTCTTCGATTCGAAAATATCGTTATTGGCTATAGTAACCTAATATTACATTATTATTATATTGAGCAGCCACGGTAGTACAGTGGTTTAGACAGTGGTTCTTGTAGCTTGGAGACTTGGTACTTAATATATGCTCCCGAGTTCGAGATCCGACCTTTACTTACTTGGCTTGTACCTCTGAGAATCTACTTTCTCATGTGCGTATTTTAACTGTGGTCCGATGGTTTGGAAATCATGTAAAATAAGTTCCCTTTTGCTGTTTTAGTGATTGATGTTACAATTAAATTCAAGGCGGTTTTACTATGCCAATGAAAATAGCATATACATATTTGCATAGTAACATAGTATCACAGAATTGCAGAGTTTATTAGGCACAGTTCTTAAAAATGGCTATAAAATAAATTTAAAAAATTTTATTTAAATACTAGCATATCTACTATTTTTCGAAAACGGCAACAGCAACAAAATCAGCTTTTGTGCAACAAATTATGTTGTATTTAATTTTGTGAACATATCATATGGCTATATATGCTAGCTTCATGAGGTCCCTACGATCAGCAAACTCAGCATAGATAACGTACTGTAGCTAAGAGAAAAATGGCGTCACATTTATAAAAATGTACTATCTGTAATCTCCTGACGTGAGCGTGATGAATATGTTGTCACATAAGTAAGTCCATATTATCGTATACTGTCGTCACTTATAGTAATAGTATACCAGTGGCGCCATTTTTCTCTTAGCTACATTACACCATCTATGCTGAGTTTGCTGATCGTAAGGACCGTTTAATAAGTAGTAATAGCAAAGTGTGTCCATGGGCACAAAATTGCACTTTGCGCACTTAGTAAGAAAAATACTATACGCGACTCGGGCACCAACATACAACAACCGCACCCTTCGAGCGCTCATATTTGTACTTTGTGCCCTAGTGACGTCATACACCATTTCAATCTATTAAAAAATTTCATACTTTTATGATCGATCACAGCTCTAAATTTTATATTCTCGTAGACCTCAAATGAGTACTTTACATCATACTTAGTAGATATTATTAAATTTAGCAAGAAACTTACTAACGTAGAGTCGATTTTATAAATTTTTAGTGTGGATCCTGTAATGCAGTTTACCACACAAACTGCCAGAACGCTAGTCAATCTTGTCAAAAATGTGAGCGTATACAAAAGCGAATGGATTTGTCATAAATACGTGGAGTGCTGACACGGAACTTTTTTTCAGGGAGTGATGAATTGATTCATCGCATTACAAATAAAAAAATGACTTGGAAGATGAATTCAAATCAACAGATGTATTTATTCGCTCTGCATAGGATTTTAAACGAGCCCTACCTGCATCAAAAAAACGGTGAAATACTTACCAGCATAACGCAGTCTCTCACAAGACTGCTACTATTTATTCTTTTCTTTCAACAGTATCTTTGGGATACCATACACGATAACTGTATTCAGTACTAAGCATTACTTTATAATATAATATGCTTTTTTTACAACTTCATAGCGAAATAAAATGTTAGTAGTTGTTGCAACACCTTGGCCCGTCACAACAAACCCCCACTACCTACGTAGGAACTTTCCATGATGAGCAAAGACGAGGCATGCGGAGTGGGGGACATGACCCAACCACGGTTAGGTCCCCTCCCAACTTAAAGCGTGGAGAGAGGGCTCCCCCACTTTTGAGTTACTAGAGGGGTTAAAAATTCTCCCTCTCATTCAGTATGAGTATTCTTTTTATAATATTAATAGGTTTCTCCAAAATAAAGGGTCCAAAATATTTTTTAATTTTTTTCATGACATCAAAATAAAATGTGATTTATAAGAATGTGGTGTGAATTTTTAGTAAGTAACAACAAAGGTACATACGTTTATTTATTTATTTTAGAATTTAAAGTCTCTACAAGTGCAATTGTATAAAATGACGCAATATTGTATATAAAATCGCATACACATTCTTTTGTTAAATATTCGCATTTCGTCGTATTTGTAGACACGACTTTTTCATACAAACTCTCTAAATCTGAATCATTCATATCTCTTACAATTTTCTCTACAATATCGGTTCTATAATAATCGATTTGCGCTTCATACATGTAACTACCTTTTTCTGAAATATAATCTACAAATTTCTGCACAACAGTAGGCATCAAATCCGACAAATAACTCAATACACGTAAATTATAATCAATGCATTTGACAATAAATTCACTTAAATGATCAAAGGTCACCTTTTTTAGAACTAAACTACGACGATATTGCTTCGCGACACTACCACTCACACCTTGTTTTCTTCCTTCTTCAAGCTCAATAGCCTTGTCGTTATAACTTACAGTAAACTTTAGAGACTAGTTGGAGCCATAAATTTTGATGTCTTGCAAATTGCTGTCGTCCATGGTAGAATACTTCTCAATGTCTGTAAACGCCAATTTAAATTCATTTCAATCCATAATTTTGAAAGAGATCCCTCCGAAATCTGTGCCTAATAGATGAACTACAGGTTCCCAATCATTGCCAAGTAATTTCTTATATTCCAGACCAACTACAACTTTTTTGCCAACTGATTTATTCAACCCATAAAGCTTGCAAAAAATCTTCGGAGGTGACTGTTGATACTATTTTGCGCTTGAGAGATCGATTGCTACCGACGCCCTAACCCTCTTTTTCTGGAACTCTATTTTTCTGATTAATTGTATTGACGATATGACGAACAGGCAGAGACTAACGACTAATCCAACTTTTTTATATTAGTTGTAGCTCGAAAGAGACAGTGTGAAAAACGTTTAGAGGTGGTAAGTCACGTTTTAGCATGAAAAATTGCGTCAGCAGCACATTCAGAATAACGTTGAGTAAAACAAGTATGATCGTGTATCGCGTGCGGATAAAAAAACGCTGCGTCTGAAATTTTTTACAAACTATAAACATTAGGATCGCAAAACGCTGACATCGTTTATTTTTGAAATTCATAATAATGTAACATTAGTATCTGTCACTAGATGTTAAAGAATGCGAAAAATACAAGTACATTTATGGATAAACTTATGTCAAAGACATTTTACTGCAACTTTTTTGTAAACATTTTACCAGACAACCGCTGCCGCCCAACACCGAGCTTCTCAAATTTTTTTGCTACATCTCAATGACATAAAACGTCTGGCAATTTCGTCATTCTTTTTTAAATTAGCGGAAAAATTGTCGAGAAATTTTTGAAAACCTAAACCGTTGCTCATGCAAAACAAAAACATCAAACAAAACTGACCACATACGATAGAAGATATGCTTTGTCACTGTTTAACATTCCAACAAAGTTTCTTACAATTTTTACGAAATCGATTAATGTGCTGCGGTACATAAGGTTGAATACCATAGCTATCGAAATATAAACCATTGGAATGTGCATATACGTATATAGCAACCCAATGCATACCTGGTTTTGTGTGATCGTCAGTGTTAATGACGAGTGCTGTCGGTTTCGTCCACACCCGTGGGATCTGATCGGCTAGGAACACACTGGTGGTATGCGTTGTGATTTGCGAGAGGATCTGCAGTAACTGTAGGCGGTACTTTACGTTTGCAGAGCCAAGACTTCAGTTTATGAGCATTATTTAAGGCACACCGATATTTTTGATGATTTGGTTTTAATGCGTGATGCATACAATACACTACTAATGATGCATCTTTTAAAGGTGGACAGTCCATATCGTATTTTAAATTTATTACTTGACAAAGAGCTATTTTATGTAAATCGTACCACTTTTCGCAACCTCTGACGTAAATTTTTCTCGCACTTCTTCCAACATCATTCAAAATTTTAAAAATTTCTTTTAAAGGTACTTTATCCTAAAAAAATCAAGTCCATAATGATGTCGGGACAACCAAATATTTTGTCATTGCGCCTCCTTACTCAATTTTTGCAAACGACAAGGAGGTGTCACTACCCAATGTGCGGAAAAGTCATTGTTCAAAGCAACGATAGCAACTTCTTTCGTCACTGTTACGTCTTTTTACACCTTAAAATACTGAATGTGGACTACGAGCTCCATTGAGATTTATGGATGATTGAGCGTACCAGCAGCAACTAACCCGAGAGACGATTGGCGTGTCCGAGTAGTGAATAAAAGTATAATATATGTAGTTAGTGGTGCCATCTAACCGCTAAAGTCGACCATAATTTGACGTGACGCATCGATTTCGAGAATATTCTCGTACTCGGCATACACTCTACAATTAACAGTCGAAGTTAGAGCGTCAGCAAATCAAACGTTCAATCTAACACTGCCGTATTTAATTAGGTTTTAATGAGAAGATTCGTTGGCCGATAAATCCGGTGTTAAATCGGAAGGAAAGAGACAGTAACCGTTGGGATAAGATTCGCGATCTATGTGGCTTCTTTCATTGAGAAAGTGAACGCCCGTGCCCGAAAACAAAGTATGATAAGCATCTACATATAAATTATTCATTTTAAAGTCTGGCTGTAATGGTTTAAAAGGAACTTGAACACCGTCAATGTACAAACAAAGGAAATTTATATTGAAATGATAAAAATTGAAAGGATTCATAGTACGATTGCCATTATAAGCTTGATTTTTAACAAAACCGTTGATTATCCGCTTAGGTAACTGGCCCAAACTAATATTATCTAAAGTTTCGCCATGAATACCACTATGCATCGTCACAACTTTCACTTCGACACTCGTAAGCGGATATTTTGCTGTACTCTTTGACAGAGCTTTGGTATGGGCCAATAAAACAGATGGGCTTATTTTAACGCGTCTCACTAAAAGATTTGCTTTTTCTATACGAACGGAAACCAAGTTTGAAGTGTCTATGAAACAAAATGCATCGTGAGATCTTACTAATCGCATTCTCACCTCGACGCCATTGACGAGTAATTTTTCCTGATTGCATACATCGCAATAAAGATGACCAATCAGATCAATCGACTTTTTTGCTGGTAGTAGTGTACGTCGCTTGACGAGGCCCGCGTTGGCATCCAACACATCGTCCATCTTTGTCGCCATGTCGTAGCACCATAATGCACTCGTTAAATGGGATGATTTTGCCGCAGGACTGTGATTCAATAAAGTTTTCAAATACGCTCTGTAAGCGTACGCGTTGTTAGAAGGCGATATAGGTTTCTGATTGAAAAACACATCGACTTGATTGAATAATGAATGCATAAAATTATTGATTGGTCCAGTCTTTGGGATTTTAGATGCTACGTCTGTATTGAATTCTTCGTCTTTATTGACGGCCAACTCGACACGAAGACTGAGCATTGTGTGTGCGAGATCGATGTATTCGTCATTATTACCTGGTACGACAAATTCGATCGGTAAATCATCTGTGAGCGATGATATCGGCTTGTATGGAATCCAGTGCAATCCCTCGATAGTTGTTTGAGTGAGTGGAGTATCAAACAAAAGAAGCTCAGACTTAAAATTCTCGCATGAGTGACTGTGTAGAAAAGCCATTTTAAAAAAATTTAACTTTAAAAGATGTCTCTTGCAGTTCTTTGTCCCTTATTCTTTTTTCTTTTTATTTATTTTTTTTTTTTCTTTTTATCTTGTTTACGCGTTTTCTTAGTTTTTTTGTTTTTACTCTTACGCTGACCACGCCTTGACTGCACAGTTCTACGAAGCAAATGCAACTGAAATGGTTCGTTGAATCGTTTGTATCCCGAATCTTTCATAAGCTTGTCTAATTTTTCCTCGGCTTTTCTCTTGAGCGCATTACCAGACTCCATCACACGCGTGCGGAATGTCTCTTTGAAAGGTATATTTTTAGCGGTAACGTCAGACATAATGTTCATACCTGCACGAATAGCTTCTTTGCCAACAGCTTTGGCACTTCGTTTAATAACTGGTAAAACTCATCGAAATACTCCAGCAAGAAATGATCCGATACCTCCGTGCCCTCGTTGATAGGGGGTCTCAACGTAAATGCACCCAACATCTCCTCTACTGTTTCCAAAAATTGTGGTCAGACTTCTACTACCACTACCACCACCACTTTTTGCAATAAAGGAGTCCTCGTAGGGATCCATAATTATTAATCGATTCGTTTAAAGTGAAGCGTTACCATCAGCGTCCCAAAGTCAAATGGTATGGGGGTACCAATCGAGTCCCTTATATTGATTTCGATGTTGTGAAAGGAGTTAAACAATAATGGTATGTACATAGGTGGTGATAAAATTTTATTTTTGACACAACCGTCCACGTAACCTTGAAAATCCAACGACACCGCCCGCAACAAACGCGATTGAACGTCTCCTACAATGTAT